ATCATTGTTCCAAGATTCAGTTTGCCTCCTGTCGTACAGTGAGCGTAATCTAACTGAAGGTCTCACTCTTGCAGTATTTATAGGCTGAAGCAGTTTTGGGTGGTCCTACGACTGCAGTCGTACGTGTGGGGGCTCTGACTGTGATGTGAAACATCAGTAATTGTTTTCCCTCGAAAGTGGAGTAACCATCGTGGGCTGGGCTGCATATTTCTTCAACCAGAACAGATATTCAGTAATTATGTGTATTACCAGGGCTAGAGATAATCGTAGTATCAGATGTAGTAGTATAATAATAATACGTATATCAACAAGGAAACCTCAGTAATTGTTTGCTTGGGAAGTAGAGTAAAAAGAGACACCACAGAAACGAGAGACGCTAAAGAGATACTATAAAAAACACTAGAGACACCAGAGACATCTCATGTATTACGAACAACCTGATGTGTTGACCTGCTACGGGAAAATGGACCTTTCGTCGTATGCCATTGCTTTCAAGCTGTGGCTCAAAAATTTTCAGTTTGGGCAAACATCAATGAAGTGAAAATACAATAGTATTATGCACAACAAGATTCATGACAGTTATATTCATGGAGAAGGATACAAACATCCCATGGGTAACGCACTAAAGTGCAAACCCTCGGCGAACTGCGCATGCGCGATACTGCTAATAATTGTGGGCTGGGCTATTTGTATGCGTGGTGTCCCGCTAGTAGCTCGCGGAGAGTTTGACACGGGCTAGCTAGTCCATAGCCTCCAAGTTAACTCTAACGTCATCCGTATCCAGCGGAAATTTCTCCGTACTTTGCGTGGCTTTACCCGTACTAACACCCGTAGCTACCTGCCCCGCCTTCTTCAGATCGTATTTTTACCTTATATGGAGTGCGATTTCCGCCGTAATCATGTGAGTAGCTACCAGGTTTGAACAATTCTCACTGTTGAGTCAGTATGTAAGCCACAGTTGAGTCCCAAGTTCTATTCTCGGTACCCACTGTTGAGTCCCAAGGTCTCTTTCGACCCACTGTGGAGTCCTTATGTACCCACTGTTGAGTCCCAAGGTCTCTTTCGACCTACTGTGGAGTCCTTATGTACCCACTGTTGAGTCCCAGGTTCTCTTTCAACCCACTGTGAGTTCCAGGTTTGAAAATTCTCCTACGCACCCACAGTTGGGTCCCTATGTAAGCCACAGCTGAGTCCCAAGTTTTCTTCCGTACCCACTGTTCAGTCCCAAGGTCTCTTTCGACCCACTGTGGAGTCCTTATGTACCCACTGTTGAGTCCCAAGGTCTCTTTCGACCTACTGTGGAGTCCTTATGTACCCACTGTTGAGTCCCAAGGTCTCTTTCGACCCACTGTGGAGTCCTTATGTACCCACTGTTGAGTCCCAAGGTCTCTTTCGACCTACTGTGGAGTCCTTATGTACCCACTGTTGAGTCCCAAGGTCTCTTTGGACCTACTGTGGAGTCCTTATGTACCCACTGTTGAGTCCCAAGGTCTCTTTCGACCCACTGTGAGAGTCCTAAGTTAACCCACTGTTAGTCCCAAAGGTCTCTTTCGACCCACAGTGCTCGAAGGTCGTTAATTACCCACACGCTTTGAAGTGGATAGGTATTGGCCAGAAAGTTCTCTTGTAGAGACGTGCGCACGTGTGTTTGGATGGGCCTTAAGAGGTTACCAGAGCGGCAACTGTTGAGATCCAGAGTCCTGCGTAAAATCAATGAACGTCACTGGCGATTGTATTCTGTGGGAGTCCTCTTATGTACGCCCGGAATCGATCATATTGCTGTGAGACGTCAACAAACGGCACTCTTTCAGAGTAGCCAACCTGGCGAGCACTGCAGATCTATGTGAGGAGTCCATTGCATGTACCGCACTGTTGATCCACGTCCTCTTTTTCCGTATTCCTAAGCTTGGAGTGCGAGTCCTATGTACCAACTAGGAGCAGGTGGTGAAAAAGTCTACACCATTTGATAGCGATAACGTCTTTGGAACCTAGTCTCGTGAGATGGTCGCCATATATCATTTGTACCACTAGGTTTGTGATAGAGCCCACGGAGGTCTCTTTCGACCCACCTGTGATTCCGGTTTGAAATTCTCCCTAACGCAGCCCACAAGTTGGGGTCACTAATTCGATTAGCAAGCTGTAACATTACGACGAGGCCGGTGAAAGGATGACCAGAGTGGAATGGATGTGTGGCTTACCGATTAGTCCCACTGTTGAGCTCCAAGTTCTCTCCGACACGGTGCAGCTTTGATCCCAAGTCTCCTCCGGTACCCACCTGTTGAGTGCCCAGTTCTCCTCCGTACCCTACATGTTGAGTTCCCAGTATGCTCCTCCGGTACCTCGACCACTGTTGAGTCCGTATGCCACCCACCTGTTGACCCACTGTTCGAGTCCCAAGTTCCTCCTCCGTCCCACTGTTGAGTCCAATTCTCCTGATTACCATCTGTTAGAGATTTCCGGGAAGTTGGGGGTCTCTTATGTATTGGTGTATGAGTATACTATTTACGAAACGGCGTGTAATGAGTAGATATAAATCAACAAGTTCTCCTACCGTACCCACTGTTGAAGTCCCAAGTTCTCCTTCCGTCACCCACTGTTGAGCTCCAAAGTTCTCGCTTTGAGTCCGTAACACCACACTGTGAGTCTTAGTTACCCACTGTTGAGTCCCAAGGTCTCTTTCGACCTACTGTGGGTCCCTTATGGTGACCACTGTCTGAAGCCCAAGTCCTTTCGACCCACTTGTGGATTCCTTATGTGCCCACGTTGAGTCGCCAAGGGATCTCTTTCGACCTCACTGTGGAGTCCTTAATGTACCCACTGTTGGAGTTCCCAAGGTCTCTTTTCGACCCACTGTGAGTTCCAGTTGATTCTCCTACTGCACCCAAACCGCAGGGACCACAGTTGGGTCCCCTATTAGCCACAGCTGAGTCCAAGTTTTGCTAGACACGTTACCCACTGTTAAGTCCCAAGTTAATCTTCCGACACAACTGTTTGATTCACAAGTTCTCCTCGTACCCACTGTGATCCCGTATTCACCCAACTGTTGACCCACTGTTGATCCCAATTCCTCTCCGACCCACTGTTGATCCAGTATGCACCACTGTTGCCCCCCTGTTAGTCCCAGTTTTTCCTCCTCCGTACCCACTGTTGAGTCCGTATCACGTCACTCCTCGACCACACTGTTGAGTCCAAGTTCTCCTCCGACCACTGTTTGGGTCAGTATGCAACCACTGTGACACACTGTTGAGTCCCAAGTTCTCACGCCTCCGTACCTCAATGTCTTGTTGAGTCCAGTCTGCGTTCTTCGACTCTGTGACTCCAGTCTCTCTCCGTAGCCACTGGTGAGTCGTTATGCACCAGGTCTGTTGTACGCGCGTGTGGGTCGAGTTCTCTCTCGGACCAGCGTGAGGTCAAGTGCTCGCGTATCTCACGTTGAGTCCCCAAGTGCGCGCGACACTGTGATCGCGAAGCTTCTCCTCCCGTACACACTGTGAAGTCCGTATGCACACGGTGAGGGCCCAAGTTCTCCTTTTGAGTCGTAGGCACCCACTGTTGAGTCACCAAGTTCTCTTCCGCCACTGATTGAGTCGTATCTACATTTGAAAAAGTACAGTAAATCGAACACGATAGAGCACCAGAATGTTAAAGAGTAGGGCAAATTCTTGAATGCAGTGTCTAATTCTTAGTAGACCACCATTCCGTTTGCAACAGGATATTGATTATCAAAGGGCTGTTAGTGTTGTGTTTCTCGGGACGTTCCCCACAGAACATCATTGTAAAAATAAATCATGATAAAAGGACAAAATCTTTTCATCGTGGTATATGCATGTATTATATATACGTCATTTTTCCTAGAGATAGCTATACACATAGCTACCATATAGATGCTTCTATGTGAAGAACTCTTGAAATGCAGATGTACTGTCTGCTTCCCTCCCAGACACTGTACCACACCCCTTTTTCCAGTGGCACCTTACATCACAGAGACTAATCGAAAAGCCTACAGTGCAAACCCCGTAGCACATTCTTTGCTATGGATGGCTACCCTATACATGTCCAGTGGCGGAGTTAAGTCCGTACTCTCACGCAGATCCAACGTGCGTCAACTAGCTGGCCGCGTTGATCGATATGCAAGCGCAGGCAAACAAAGTTGTCAACGTTCTGTCACCTAGTCGCGTGCGAAACGGAAGTAAAGCCGTATCACTACGATAGCGAACCTAGCTTCGACGAACGTCATGTCTCTGAGCAGTCGCCTCATCCCGAAGCTCTTTCCTTTCGTTGGGGGGCGCGTTTTCCATCAGTGTCCCACGCGCATTGCGCATCAGTGTCTACGATTGGCAGGAACCCCCCTTGTGTAGAAGCTTCTGGATCCGCCACTGCTGTAGACAATAAATCAAGTTTCACTCTCTAAGAGGAAAGCTATAGGCAAAGTTTATTGCAGGTAGCTAACTGGGAAATCATATTTCACTTTCCCTAGCGATACACACCACTCAACTTCTAGTGAACAACTCGTTAAATCCAGATACCTCACCAAGACAACACAAAAAATAAGCTGTCATTGATAGGATTCTAACCCTGCATTCTAGATTGAGCAAACCTATACCGGCTACTGGGAGGTATGGTGTTCAAATCTACTGCAAAACGCAACACACGACAAAGGCAGAACTCTAACAACTGTGCTCTATTGCACAGCAACTCTCACTCCGTATTGGAGCCGGCTGGGGTAATTGAACCACAAAAGAGTCCCAGCTCAAAACTAGGTCGTGTCAACAAGAACGAAGTCAGAGCAAGGAAAAGGCAACACAACTATATAGACCTCCAGGACAATTTGCCCTGGGTGGATTTGAACCAATGAGACACTGTGTTCTGGGCATTATATAGAGGTAATGAATTACAACGCCATAGCTACTTGCACTATTGTCCTTGTGGTTGTCCCTTCCCATAGATTCAGGATATTTATGAAGTATTTCTGTCAGTATCAGAGTTTCGGAAGATTAATAAATGGTTTACAGTGCCACAACATAATAATACCCATTCCCAGCTTCATGACCTGCACTTGGTAATCAGTATGTTATAGCCAAATGCGCACTTTGATAGCCTATGACCCGACAAATGATGCTAATTAGTATGTAATAGCCTGCACATGCGCACTTCAATAGCATAATGATCCGACAAATATTCTACGATACAGCAAGCAGGTACAGTAATTCTACAATGTCTGAAGCAGTCCAAAATTCCTATTGACATGCTCATTCATTGTCCTCTTAAGGAAACGAGATTGAGATCTTCTCCAACTTTGATTTCTTTGTGGCTGTGCCTTCATTGGCACCCCACAAGATTTTGGCTACTTTGTCGTAGGTCAGAGATCCACGGTAAGGAAAGTCGGCTATTACAATTCCGTTGGCAGTTATGACAAACTTACTATCTTTAACAGTAACAGTCATAGAAATTGTCGTAGACACAGAACCAGTTGGAAATGGGAAGTTTCTGAATGGTACTACCGATCCCCAGACGTTATTCTTTCGTGTGTTAAGAAACAAGGCTTTTGTAGAGCCTCTGTAGTTAACCCGAAGAGCAACACGGAGGACAAAGTCGCCGTTGTCGGTGACCAGAGTCAGCCCCACTCGACCAGACTCAGGGTTCCTGAACACTACTGTGATACTCTGGCCAACCTCCAGAGATTCAACGGGAAGGGTGTACTGAGTTTGGAGACTGTCGCCGTAATTTTTGTTCACCTGTAGTTCTGCCAGTAAAAGACAAAATAGCCAAATAATTATAAGGATTGTATGTGTGGAGGCATCTAAAAGACATAAAGCATGAAGAATGATATATAGTCAAAACTTGCTGCACAACATCATTTTGGTAGAGTTTATAGCGAGCAACAGTAGTAAATAAAATATGCATGGTTACTATATACCTACCAGCAAAAGTATTCAAAAACTCTTCATTCCTGTCACTCATCAATTGCTGCAGATAATCTGGACAACACAAACATGAGGTAAGCTTTAGAAACAAGAATGTTTTGCCCATTAGAACAAGAAAAGCTTACACTCATATGCAGCAGGTAGTTGTTCATGCTCTAAAGGCCATGAATTTGCTGTCATAATGACTGCTGCTGCGATAAGAGTTGTGAATAGCACCCTCATCCTTCATTTTTTTCCTCGTTTAATGGATCACTCCTGTTCCAGAGGATAGTTTAACTGTAGGCTCTGCTCCAGCAGCATTTTATAGGTCGAAGCAACTTCCACTGTGGTCGTGTGTGAGGTTTGTATATACCCCTGACTGTTGTGTATGTGTAGGTTTTAGTCAGAAAAAGTACCTTTTCCTACACAATCTTAGTATATAGGCACAAACCCAATGATTACTGGTAGCTAGTATTTCTTCAAAGGTCTATAGAGGAAAGGAAGCTAAGTGATTAAGGAGTTCTAGTAAGTTGGTAGTGCTGTGGCCAGACTGTGGCCACACTACCCCTGACTGTTGTGTATGTGTAGGTTTTAGTCAGAAAAAGTACCTTTTCCTAGACAATCTTGGTATATAGACCAACCCCAATGATTACAGGTAGCTAGTATTTCTTCAAAAGTCTATAGAGAAAAGGAAGCTAAGTGATTAAGGATAATTTTGTTCTAGTAAATTGGTAGTACTGTGGTCCTGATTGTGGCCACACTGCAGCCCTGGCAAATGAGGGGGCAAGGTAGCATGAAAGAAGCAGCAAAAGTGTGACCTCTTTCTCCTGTAACCCTGTCCAGTAGCTTCCTCAGTGTGACCGACGTTGTGCCTCATGATTCGCATGGTCTGTGCTGGCAGTGATGAGGCCCTGATGGTGATCTGTGTGCCCGCTGTCATGGCCAGTTTACATATATAGGAGCCCTTATCCAAATACTTTCAGTGAGTAATGCCTTTAGCAAGGGGAGTGTTAGTGGTAATGTATTCCTCAAGAGGAAAACAGAGTGCCAAGTTCAATCGTGACAAGTTTCATAAGCCTAGCACCACAGAGTGGCAGCTCTTGCCAACAGGCTGTGTACATTGTCATACCACACTTTCCACCTGGCCATACTCAGGGGTGCTATTATGTGGTTAAACATCCATCCAAAGATGTAGCCATACATTTTCTCGTACATTCATTTTTGTAAAACCACCTCTCACTTCGTTGCAGTAGTTTACTAGTAGGCGAATGCATGGCATTTTTGGTGAGCGGAAGCGAGCTTACAAATGGGGTCTAATCGTATAAGTCACTCTTGTGTGTGCACAAAACAGTTGGATACATTGCACAGGACCAAGTAGGCTGAAACAACCTTTTAGACCCGAGCGCAGTAGACAATTCGAATCGAGTCAAAAACAGTCAGACGACAGCGCGAATCAGGCATAATCCGGCAATCTGATTGGTCTTGCAGGAATAGGGAACAAGTGGCAATGCGCACCAGGCCTTCTCCCGCGCGCGGATTGAGAAGGCGTGGCTCCGCGAGGCTAATATTATACGCGCACGGGAGGGGGCGGGGCGTGATCGCCGGGCCGGCCGGCCGGGCATGCGTATCGCGGTTATAATTATTTGTCACGCGGGGCCGGATCGGAGGAGTCACGTATAATTATACAGCCTGTCCAGGCACCCGCCATGCCAGCAGTCCCTGGACAGCATATATGCAGCTTCTCGCGCCCTTACATAAGTTGCACTAGGCACACTGAATGAGGACAGCATTGTAACTAAAAAGCATTGGTTTCACGCCGCACAAAATTGAATGGTGTAACTTATTGCTCAAAGTTTTATTACTGTTCTTGATGTCCCCCATGTGCTAATTCCTGACTTCGGGAAACTCGATGTTCCAAAACTGAAGCAAGACATTCCGAAATTTTCTCCATGGATAGCATTTGAGTCCACTACAGAATGGTCATCATTTCTCAGCTCTGGTCTTACAGGAATGATCGATGCAGCAACAGCAATCGAAAGTGACTTGACCATTAGAAGTTTTGCATGGTTTCAGACACACACGGTCACCTCAGAGCAATACTGCAGAAATGCTCACTGAAAACTATGAAATTATTACAAGTGTGTTTTGTAACAGCTGTGCGCAGAGTTCAACTTTCGGCCTTCATTGTGACTGTGAAATCCACAAATTTGTGACTTTGAAATCTCCGACATTGAAATCCACAAATTTGGGACTTTATAATCTGACTTTTGAAGTCCATAAAATTGCGTTTGCAAGCTGCGGGCACATTACCTTTCCTGCCTGCACCAGTCAAGTTCGACAGTTCCAAGGACTTGCCTTATATTATCCAAAGGATTGGCCCAAGAACAAGATTGTGTGAAGGTAAATACAATTGCGTTTGCTTCCTGTTCACTCACTGCAACTGAAAAAACTATGCTATTACTGAACTTGGGACCCTTGGTATAATGTGGGCAGCGAAAACGTTTCGTCCATACATTCTGGGTCGACGTTGCATCGTCTTCACAGACCATGCTGCCTGTTTTCTTCAAAACTGGTGTGATGGGCCGTGATTATCCAGGAGCACCATCTACATAATCTACACATTCGACACAGAGCTGGGAAAAGCAATCAAGGTTGCAATTTCAGTCAGTGAAGTCCTCAGGCTCAGAAACAGGCAATTTTAAAGGAAAGTCATTCCCTGTCTCGACTGAAGGAATTCGTCAGTGCTCTGAATTTGCCTAACTTGGAAGCAGACATCAAACGACTACAGCATCATGATCAACACCACTCTCCTAGACTTTCATGAAAAAGGAATATTGCATGCAGAGGAGAAATCAGCCAGTCCTTTAGTCCTGAGCGCTGAGCTGTCTGAGTTTTGTTCTCTGTGTGTCCACTCCATCCAACCCCCATGCACCAAGATTGGCTGTGTCTCAATGCCTGGTGAAGAACACCATGATGGAAAGTTCACAGGTCATTTTTCAGGAAAGTTTATTCTACCATGAGAATTAGATACTGGGGGAAATGAATGAGGTCCGATGTTGCTAGTCTCGTATGTGCCTATTGGAAGGGCACATGATGCAAGAAGTCTGTCCCTGTTGGAGGACCGTTCCAAATGGTCGGAGTCGATGTACTGCAACTATATACCTCTGTCTAGAAAATGGAACCAATATGTTCTTGTCTTTCAAAACTACCTCACAAAGTCTTGCCACCCCCAACCTGAAAGCTAAGACTATTGCGTGTTTGTTTATAGAACATGTGGCGGCTCAACACGGAGTTCCAGAACGTTTATTGTTGGATGAAGGACCAAACTTCCCTTTGGAATTGATGCAGGAAGTATAACACTCCCGTTAATTGGAGATCACAATCTGACGAAGTTCGCGGTCCAGCTGGTTCATGTAGCTACCACGATCGTACGGGGAGTAGCGGATGAAGTATGTAGGTGACATGGCTATGTATAGGCTGATATTTACTACTGTGCTTGTGACAATTACAGGCTCACATTTACATGGCTTCACTATGTTCGTCATCCATCTGAACTGAGTCATACCAATTTTTTCATTACAAATATGCTCTAACCCTGTTCTTTTGGCTACCAGAACTTATCATAAACATCTAAAAATTATAGCAGCGAGGGTTATGCACTTTCAAGCTGTAGCTAGCCAGGCCACCACAGGAGTGACCATCCCATGTGTTGTTGTAGCACTAATAAAGTGGATTAAGGTTAACAAAGTTGTGGTAGCATTTTGCATCTGTTGGACATAGCTTTTCTGGTAGCCTGGAGAGAAAACCCACGATATTATGTTGTGGTAGCATCTAATTATTGGTCGCCCACACACCTCAACTGTCGACGACACAAGACAAATGAAAAATCCGATGCACAAAACCACTATATTGATGGTATTCTACTTCTGGGTGGTTACCATAGCAAACACGCATGCATAGAGCCGAATGAGCACTACACAGCAGATAATAATATTAGAGTGATTTTCACGACTAATACTGACAAACGTATTTTTTCGTAAGATTATGGAAAACTATGTGGTAGCTAGTTCTGTTCAATGCAAGAATAGACAGTAAGTTTAGTGGATAGCTGTTTATACTCAGGATTTATTACATACTCTGCAATCTAGCACTAGTAATGTCAAAATTTGTTTAGTGTGAAATTTACTGCACATATATTTCCAACATTTCAAAGTTGATGTCTTCATCATCTCGATCCTGGTCAGTACAGAGCCTCATCTCGATGTCATCACTGGTTGGAGGAGAGATCTCTTTCCTGAACCATGGTGGAGAGTTCCAGGAACAGCATGTATTGAACGGACCACATCCAGCACCATCCCAGAGAGGATCATCTCCATAGAAGATGAACTGGTAATGATTTGCACAGCCGGTGGCACAGAAATAGTCATTTCCGATAAAGCCAGGTACAGAAGGAGGTGGTGTGTTGCGAGTGTTAGTGCAAGGGCATACATAATCTGGATGAGAATTGTACTCATGAAGAGCTGCAACGAATGTCCAAATGTGTTGGCGAGGACTTTTTCCATGAGTTAAACTGATTCCATCGACATAATTAGAATCGGTTGTTCCGGAACTGCTACCTCGGAATGCATCTGGAGTCCGCTGCTGGTATCCAATGATCATGCCACATACTCGACTGTATTCTACTCCTTGTACCGGCAGCACAACTGAGGAACATCCACCAACATAAATGTTCCTAGCACACAGTCTACGGGGACTAATGAGGGTCCTCAGACCAGATGGACAGGTACTGCCAGTTTTAGTCATGTCGATAGAGGCCAGCCTCATCCAGCCTCCAGCTACACCTTTGCAGCTCCTCTCCATGTCACAGTACATGTGTTTGGGTTTGTTGTCAGTTCCACTGATCCAAAAGAGACCTGAGAGAGACTGTGGGGCCAGCTGGAGGATCTCCTTGCAGGAACAGGCAGGGTGACTAGGTGTATGTCCAGGGACAAGCAGAAGAGAGACCTTTGATAGCAGATGATCCGTAACAGATTTTATATTTTTAACAGTTTCATTCATTGCAGCTAGATCGGCAGTATTTGAAGGGCAACCAGCGGGGCAACCAGAAACATTCGGGGGATTTGAGGTACCAACACAGACTGCTGCATAATGAACCAGCAATATGGTGGCGATGGCAGCATAGGAAGTCATTATGCAGCTACTTCAAAAAATTGGCTGTGTAGTCACAATTGGCCAGAATATAGCTGTTTTTATACACAGCAGAGAGCTGAACATGATAAGACTGCCGCCCACTTGGCTAATGCTCCCTATGGCATCCGTACACTCTTATAATTCCACCCATAACTTACACAAGCGAAAATTGTACTGGGTCCCCCCTGCACAGAACACAGCACTATGTCTGACCATGATAAATTATTAGCATTCTCTACCCCCCACTTTCGCATGTTTTGTGTTGTATTTTCGAACCCCTACTGGGCTACCTGCTGAGTTGCCCTGGTAGCTAAGTTGTTATAGCACTCACCTGTAGTGCAGTGTTTTGAATTCCTATAAGGCTCTGTTTTCCTTTGTCCTGCATTGATGATAAGACAGCACTTTGGCTAATGTCATCTGCACACTTACACCATTCCACCCACAGTTTACACAAGGTAGCTAGTGTTGGTGGTCCCCCACACTGAACACCCTCTTTTGCTCTATGGTCCCCATTGTATTGTGTTTTAGCCTTGAGCCCTAGCTACCTTGTGAGTTACCCTGGTAGCTCAGTTTGTAGACCACTCACAGTGCAGAGTGTCGTTGGTTCGAATCCCACCTCTGCAGCTCTTGTTTTCTTTGAAATAAGTGTCTTAATTGCTTAGCTAACATTGAGTTGTGTACTTGGTTAGCCTTAGCCCATTGTTGATACACAGGCATGTTTACCCTGAACGGTGTCTGAAGTAAAAGTTCCGTTTCCAATTTTCAGAAATACTCAGCACTTTCATGTCATTTTGCTTAGCAAAAATGTGGGCACTTTTTACCACAATATCAACACACTGTTCAGAAGTTGTTAACCTACCACCTACCATTTATCAGGGTTCACAAATTATTGTCACACTTATAGTATTATTTAATCTCAAATTAACCATGTCTTCTAAAGTCCACTATCAAACTTTTTTAGTTTTGTCAAAATATAACGTTTTTAGATAAGAAGGAACGGAATATTAAATTGAGACACTGTTACTTTACCCTAGGCTCAGCTGCCACTGTTCATTCAAGTGGGAAGGGGAGTTTCTATGGTGACGCCACAGGAAGTACACTGCACAGAGCCTCAGTGACTGACTACGACATTATCTGCCTCTGCCCCTCCTTGGCTCAATGTTATCTCTACAACTTGGAAGGGAAGTTACTATTGTGACAACCCCCTGCAGCTCAGGTCTGACCATGATATTATTTCTCTGCCTCTGTCCCCCTAGGCCTCTGTCTCAATGTTATCACTGCAGGTGGGACATGTGTCACCTCCCTAGATGGGTAAGCTCAGAGCCTTAGTGTCTGACCATGACAAGACTGGCATTCTATGCCCCCACTTTCCTGTTCCTTATATAAACTTATGGACTTCCTATATGAATACATCTACCATTATCTCTTCAGACAAACCCTGACTCTTTTCACCTACACTTTTTAAAGTTGAAGGTAGTTACTACGGTGATACCCAATTATACATAGCAAAAGTGTTTGGCCATGATAGGTATGCAGCCCACTTCAGATGAGAGCTACATATACAGCTTCCATAGCTGGCATAATACATATGCACCTGCTCTCTTTACAACAACTAAAACTGGCATGTGCAACTGCAAAGGAGGGTCGGCAAAGGTCGACAAATTGAGGTCCTAGGTGAAAGCAAGCCAAAGAGAGGTTTGTGCATACGTGAGATTGATGCTCTAAAACACATACATTGTATATCTTTGTAGTTATCTTTGTAGTTATCTTTTATAGGGCACTTATACGGCTAAATAAGAAGTATGCCAGGAATTCATTAGTAAATTACATCCAGCTTGGCTTCCTGTCAAAATAATAATTAAATTTTCTAGTTCCACAATAGTCACATGCGTTTTACTGGGACACACTCTAACTCAATTTCTTGGTTTTGTGGGTGTAAATATGCATGAGCATCAGAAAGTATAATAATTATTTTATTATACGTAGCTCTCGTGCAACCTACCACTGCATCACATCCAGTCATCTGCCTGTCATTTCCATTGCATTTTTGGACTCCCTATGCATTGCTTCCTAATAGTAGTTGCACCCCCACCCAGGCTCAGATGTCAGTATTATACAAACTTTCCACCCACAGTTTACACAAGTGGAAAAGAAAGTGCAGAGTGCCCAGTTCTGTGCATGTTGTTGATTTCCCCGACCAGATAGTGATTTGCATGCTTCACCATTAATTTACTGGCAGTATAAACTACATATCAGGTTACTAAGTACGCCTGAAACCAGGCATTTGGCTTTTTGACACTTGCGTGCATATGACTCGCCTTCGGACTGGATATATGTGAAGGTGGACGGTCGACAAAAGGCTAGAGTAAATGTGGTGTATAATAATTATGTGTGTGAGAAAGACAGTGCAAGAGGGAGAGTTGCAGAAAATTAAACATACAATGTTTGCTATCTTGTAAATAACAGAATTGTGGAGTGGTTCAAAGATTCAGTAGGTCAATTGGGATCCAAGTTCATCAATAACTCACGGAACTATAGTCCGCACATAATTCATTTACCTTTGTACGCACTCACACAATTGTACTTTTGTACCCTTTAATTATAAATGTGCGCATAGGATCTAAATCACAATTCAAACACTAGGTGCATTAACCTGGAACGAGACGCACTCCCTCCTCATCTTCAGAGTGGCACCAAGACTGTCACCTGGAACGAGACGCACTCCCTCCTCGTCTCCAGAGTGGCACCCAGACTGTCACCTGGAACGAGACGCACTCCCTCCTCGTCTCCAGAGTGGCACCCAGACTGTCACCTGGAACGAGACGCACTCCCTCCTCGTCTCCAGAGTGGCACCCAGACTGTCACCTGAAACGAGACACATTTTGTTGCGCCCAGCTCTGCCAACATCTCAGCACTTGGCTGGCCTTAGGCATTCCCCTCGCTCCCAGCTCTGAGTTCTGTTGAGGACGCACTCTCGTACTTTGTTTCCAGAGCAGGCATAGGACATGGAATGCTATGCCACAGACAGCTCTTTCCGAACAATCACATAAATTATGCTCATGTATAGCACACAGACCACTGAAAACCCACTTTATATCCAGATAATTTAGTGCATGTGCATTTTAATGTTGCACTGCGGCCCGATAAGCACTATGGAAAACCACACACTAAATGAAAACAATAGACTGGTAAACACCAAACCCAGGTAATGGGAGAATGGTGGCGGTAGGTCATGTGATAGTCACATGATCTGGTGGACAGTGACCACACCCCTTCTCATTCCCCCAGGACGGAGAACAAGATGAGACAGACGTTGAACGAGATCTATTTCGGAAAGACAAAGGATGTTCTTAACGACCTCAGGTTGGTGGGTGGAGCTTGACCTTTGTACCTACTACATGTAGAGTGTGCATGCAGTATTTTGCTGTTACCATAATATGAAGTGTGTTTGTAGCTGAGGTAATCGTAATGCTTTGCTTTTTGCACCTATTTTCCAAATGTGCTTCCCCACTTCAAACCCATGTGGAATGTTTATGCCAAACATGTAAACAACAACAATGACAAAAACAACACAACGGCACCCAGGACAGCCCAAAGAATGAGTTTGTATAAACTATTTGTGACTGAAGTTTGTTCTACACATCTCTCTCTCTCTCTTCTTTCTCCTCTTTCTCTCTCTCCTCTCTCTCCCTCTCCTCTCCAACTGCAGGTCTGTAGGAGACTTGAAACTGGCTAACAAACAGCAGCTGTTAGCAGCTGAACTGAAGGAACAATCCATATTGTGTTCTTTGATATTTCCTATGATAATTATATTATGTGGGAAGTTATACAATACACTAATGTACTAAGCTAAGTGTCGTTTATAGAGGTGTGCTTTATTTGGAGGATTCTTCGAAACTAGGGGAGGGGACTGCAATATTATTGGAGTGATGGAATAATTATCGTTGCAACTAGAGGAGGAATCAATACCATATGCCTGACTTAATAGAGAAATGGTATCAAACATCAACAGTGACAATTATGACAGGAAAAGAGGTTGATGATTGCTCTAAGCTAGCTAGCTATAATATAGAGTAAGTTCTTTTTTGTACGCATGCGCGAGTTGAGGATCAAGAGGGAAATTTCTCCAAATAAGGCATCATTCAGTTACGCCTTTCTTCTGTCCTTGGAAGTATTTGTGCCCGTAAAACGTCGCGTCCCTTCTTCGTTTCTCTTCCTAACTCACATCGAGCAATCGTGTTGGCGCCCAGAGATGGCTACTGGAGGCGGGGACCAAGTCTGGACGTGGCGGAAGAAACGTAAGACAGTCGCCGACAGCCGCGCGCCCCCACGTATCCGAAATAATGTTGACTGAGAGATTATGACTGTGCCTGTAGTTAGCTCTCCTTCTTACATCTACTGTGAATGGTAGTGCTGTCTGATAGGCTAGCTGGTCCCTGGGGTGAGAGCGTCATTTTTGTTTTGTATGATGTCATCACTTTAGCTAGCTATATAAGATATTTGTTAGTGATGATGTCATTGTCTTTCCTCGCAGCACTCCCTCCAAGTAAAGCCATACTCAGGAAGGCTTTTGAGAACACCAGTGACTTCAGTCTCCTCTGTGACCATCTCTCCATCCCTCTTGATAAGAGGGATGTTGACAGTGCAATAGAGTACTATATGCAGAGTACACATCCAATGAGGGATGTTCTAGGTATGAAGCTTTGAAATCCGCTCAAACGTTCATTGTATTACATTGTCAGCAAGTCTTCAGGCTTGAATTATCGTGGGTTCCAATCTCACCCAGGACAGCTCTTCTTTTCTTTGAAAAGAAAGATCTGTCTGTCCTGGGTGTAGTTGACTTGTTTGCCTTGCCTTGTCTTTCTACCTCGTTATATTTGAAATGTGCTCAAACCTGCATGATATTGTAGATATGTACATTGTCAGCAAGTCTCTCTACCCTCCTCAGTCTTCTCTGACTACAACTCTTTTCAACTGCAGATGAAAGGCCGACACTTCCAAAGCTCCTCCGTTTCCCCCACACACTCGGGAGAACGCATCAACATCATCAAAAAAGTCAGAGTGAACTACGAGAAGTTGGGGACTCTGTTACTGGAGGACAACGATGGGTCCATCATGCCAACGATCGAGTCTCAATGTCAACTGGATGCCGATAGCATCACCATGGAGATAATGAGGCGCTGGCTGAGGGGGAAAGGGAAGAAGCCGGTGACCTGGAGAACTCTGACGGACTCTCTCAAGCCCATTGGTCTCTCTCCCCTGGCCTCCTCCATTGAACAATCTCTCACCAGTAGTTCACGATGAACTCCTTGTAAATACCTCCTTCCTTCCTCCACTCGTCAGTCTCTCTCTCTCCCTCTCATGTTTTGTCACCTTTCTTTTCATTTCTGTAAGGGTGCACAGCAGCGATGACATAATGTTTCTAAAACCTCTCTTCTACTTATCTCTCTGGTATAAGTTCCTTTACATATCACCACTTGTAGTCCAACTTCAAACAACCCGGTGGTAGGAATATACGCTGTATTCTTAGCTGTGGGCTGTGGGCTGCACTGGTATCAGTATTGGTATCACAACTTATGTCGTCATGCGTGGGTGGATCATGATCAAAAGTGCCGCCACGCACTATGGGCGAGGGCTACACTATACTCTACGGTTATAATCAGTCATTGATTTTAACAGATGATGCGTGGGAAATGATCAAATGACGTTACAGGCGAAATACCCAGAGTATATACTTCTACTTCCTATCAGTGTTATTCTTATATTATCATTGTTTGCACACACCAATATAGAAGTTGAAATGAGAAGAACATGAATGATTAGAGGAATGTTATAAATGTAATGTTCAAAAGAAGCGAATGAGTTACATACATACTGACGATAGAATCTTTAGTATTTGCTGTGTGATCATAATCAGCGAAAACCATTGGTATGAGATTACCATACAAGCAATTATACCAATAGAAGAGTAGGCAAGGTGAGTGAGTCAGAGATTATAATAAAGTTAACAAAAACGCTCACTGTCGAGACAACGAGAGATGAACTTCGAGTAGCGATACATGATAATATTGTGTACATAAGAAATCCTTGCTGGATTGAGGACAATAGATGTATGAGAGTTTCTAGGGAGAAGTCAACACGAATGGATCTGCATAACGAAAGGTGTACAGAACAAGTTGGCCTGGGTGGCGGTTTAACGTCTTTTGTGGCTCTGATGATGTCATTTTTATCACTGAGATCAAACGAAAGAAAACGGCCAACGTGGAGGACTTTATTAGAAAAGTTAAGGAAAACTCCATTAAATTCGATGTATATAGTCAACCGAGGACTGCCGGACATTCTTTCTGAAGCATATCTGTTGAGTCTTTTCAGAATTAAATATCAAACCATGTGATGATGCATAGGAACTGCAAATTGATAGCATTTTGCGGAGAGCAGAGGCACAAGGAGCCAATAGAACAATATCATCTGCGAAACAAAAAACACCAGCAAACATCCATCGTCAACAACAACCAACACCAGAGAGAGACAACTCATTCACAAACTATCCAATATACACCGAAGAGGAAAGGAGAAAGAACACCACCTTGACGAACCCCATTAGACACTTTGAAGCTTCTAGAGAGACAGTCATGATTCCACTGGACACTCATCCTCTGCATACTGTACCACTGGAGTAGAAAATTCAGGATTGCAAGTGGAAAACCTCTCTTCTCTAGATTCTGAAAAAGAAGTCCGTGATCTACTCTATCAAATGCTTTGCTCGCATCTAAGAAGCAGCCTAAGACATTGGAACATTATTATATAACGAAGAAACAACAGATTCATGAGGGCTGAGCACAGGGTGGTCGATGAGCCAGCTTGAAACCAAACTGCAAGTGACTACTATGAAGAGATTTCCATAGTGAGAAGATGACATGTTCAATCAGTTTGCTTAAGGTACAGAAGCAATGTAATCGGGCGATATATTGTACTGCTTGTTGGATCTCCGCTTTTAGGACAGAACGATACACACATCGGATACCTGTGGCGGTAGCCATGCCCTAAAACAAGCTGTGAAGAAAATAGCGAGTCACCTGCGATGACAGGGCAGCATACCTTAAATTTTCAGAGAAAAAGACAAGGTTATTGATTACCATTCTTTAGGTTAGAAATAGCTTGAAGTACGCGCGCTAACACCTTGATATCCTGAAGCTGAGCACGTTTGAGATTGAGGATCTGATTCGATGCAACATAGAGTTCGAAGAGTAGGAGAATGAGTATTCAATAGTGTTGTGCATATTAGAAGCAACATATCTGCAATCTCAAAGGATCAGAACAACCATCAACAACAGCTGCTCGTGATGTAGTTGGGTGACTCAGTTGCCTAACAGCTAACCAAAAACCGTTTTTTTTCCTGTCTGCATAGTTTTTGGCAAGTTTTTCTCAAACAGGCCGATGTTGTTTACGCTTAAGGTTCCAAACGATTGTGCGTGGGCGTATGTTCCAGATATTTTTTTTCAATAGCACAGCTAAAATGCTCGTGATTTATAGTGAATTTAGTATATTTCTCGGATTTTTCCTACCTTGTCTTCCAAACTCATTAGCATATTCATATTCCTCCTCCATACATTTTCTATGGGAGAGAAAACTCGTGTGCGACTCACCCAGGAGCGAACGGTCCGTCTCCATTATGCGCAGTAGCTTTCTTTGCCAGCTACGGTACGCAGGGAGTTAATTTTGCCCGCATTCCACCAAGCTTTCTCATAATGTTGCTACAAAAATAATGTGTGTCCTTACAAATTGTTGGCGAATTTGAATGCGTAGTTACAAAGTTCCGTGAATTACATAACATAGATCTCTATGACCTAATAGACATTCTCACTGCTTTCATCTTCATCACCTGCACAGCTCATCTCAATGTCGTTACTGGTTGGAGGAGAGATTACTTTCCTGAACCATGGAGGATAGTTCCAGGAAGCTTGAGGATCTCCTTGCAGGAACAGGCAGGGTGACTAGGTGTATGGCCAGGGACAAGCAGGAAGGAGACCTTTGATAGCAGATTATTCGACTTGCTCCATGTGTCAAACTAACACCATCGACATAAGCAGCATTGATATTATTGTTACTAGCTGTGACTCTAGTAAAAGCATCCAGAGTATATTGTTGGTATCCAATGATTTTACCGCACACTTGGGAGTACTCTATTCCCTGTACTGGGAGCACAGTTGAGGAACATCCAGAGTGGCCAGTAGTGGTTTTAGCGCACATACTTTGGGGACTGGTGAGGGTTCTCAGACCAGATGGACAGGTACTGCCAGTTTTAGTCATGTCGAAAGAGGCCACCCTCATCCAGCCTCTGGCTACACCTTTGCAGCTCCTCTCCATGTCACAGTACATGTATTTGGGTTTGTTGTCAGTTCCGCCATCGATCACAGTAGAGACCTGAGGAGACTGATGGTGCCAGCTTGAGGATCTCCTTATGCAGGAACAGGCAGGTGACTTTAACGAGTGTATGGCCAGGGACAGCTAGGAAGAGACCTTGCATAGCAGTTATCGTAGCAGATTTTATATCGTTTATTCAGCTAGGTCGGTCGTGGTGTGTGAGGGCACCAGAAACATTAGGGAGATTTGAGGTGCCGCACCACATACCTTGCTGCATAGAAAACCAGCAATATGGTGGTTTACGGCGTATAGGTAATGTCATTATGCAGCTACTTCAAAACATTGCTGTGTAGTCTACAATTGGCAGGGATTATAGCTGATTTATACTACGGCACGACGCTGATCATGATACGACTGCACCCTATTCCCCACGTTTTGGCTAAGTGCTCCTGACGTCATCTGTACACTTCCACCCATAAGCGAAATGTAAAACTGGTCTCTGCACCAGAACACAGCACTATGTCTGACTAGGATATTAGTAGCATCTCTATCTCGAACTTTTTCATAGTCTTGTTTGATTTCGAACCCCTACTGGCTTACCTTGCGGAGGGTGGCCCTGGTAACGCAGTTGATACAGCAACGCAACCCCACCACAGCCCTTTTTCTATTGAATAGGGTCCTGTATAGAGGAATTACTTAGTAGCCGTTGCATTGGTTGATACACTAGCATCAGCTATGTCATGAAACAATCTAGCACTTCATGTCATTGTTGCTTAGCAAAAATCTGGCCACTTTAAGTTTGTTACAATATCAACACATGTTCAGAATGTTGTGCCCACCATTTTTCAGGGTTACATTAAGTTGTCATCACTATAGTATGGATAGTATTACTCATCCCAAATTACTGTTTCTTATGAACATGTCTTCTAAGTCCACTATCACCTTTCTAGATTTGTCGAAATGTACCTTTCTCAAAGAAAACATTTTTTAGAAGAAGAACCGGAAATTTAAATTGAGACAACTGTTCCTATGGATGGCCTTACCCTGGGTTCAGCTGCCCAGTTCATTGAAGTGGAAGGGGAGTTTCCTATGTGCACACCCCAGAGGTACACAGCACAGAGCCTCAGTGACTGACCATGATTTATTAGCTGCCTCTGCCCTCCTTTGGCTGAACGTTATCTCTGCAAGTTGGAGGAAGTTTCTATTGTGCAACACACCCCCTGCACTCAGAGCCTTTGTGTCTGACGATGATAGACCTGGTATTTTTCTGCTCTGCCCTCGGCCCCCCTCTGTCTCAAAGTTTATCCACAAGATGGACAAGGGTAGTTACTATTGTTACACCCCCTAGAGGGTGAAACACAGCTCAGTGCCTTAGTGTCTGACCACGATAGGGCTGACATTCTCTACCCCCACTTGGGCTCAATTTATCCTTGCAAGTTGGACAAGGGTATAGTTACTATTATGACACCCCTTGTGAAACACAGCTCATGCACAGCCTATGGGGTGGTATTCGTGTCAGTATTTCAAACGTCGATTTTGCCAAGGCATTTCCGTTTTGCCGCGGCAAAATTAAACTGCCGCGCGCGGCAATTGCCCCGGCAAAACCTGGCCGAAAAATCCGGGACATTTGCCGCGGCAAGAATAACTAGCTGGGCCATGTTCAATCGTGTCAATATTCTTGTCGTTGCCGGGCCTTTTGCCGTGGCAAAAGTGCTCTTGCCTCGGCAAATTTTCATTTGCCGCGGCAATACAAAAGTATGCATGGCACGTAAAGTGGGCGGAGATAATTGAACGTGACGTCACATCCGAAGTCCGTTCTGGCTCGAGCAATGTATTGCGTTCTACGGAGAAACTGGAACCGTCCGTACTTAGAGCGGCGCAGCACGTAGCTCTTACGGTATGCTCTATTTACTAGTAGGCGAATGCATGGCATTTTTGGCGAGCGGAAGCGCGCTTACAATTGAGGTCTAATCGTATGAGTCACTCTTGTGTGTGCACAAAACAGTGAGATACATTGCGCAGGACCAAGTTGGCTGAAACGACCCGAGCGCAGTAGACAATTCGAGTCGAGTAAAAACAGTCAGACGACAGCGCGAATCAGGCATAATCCGGCAATCTGATTGGTCTTGCAGGAATAGGGAACAAGTGGCAATGTAGAAAAATCTCTCGCTGGACTGTGCAGCAATACTTGATAGCTTCGGAGGTGTTGCGTTTCCCCTGATTCCGCTCGATTCAGGCAGCATTATGAAAAATGTTGAAATCCCTTTCGGATAAAAAGAAGCGCGTAATGATGGAGCATGCGCAGTTGGACGACGTACGGGTACATATATATACAAGTGGAAAAATCATTTCTTCAAAATGAAAGGGGGATATAGGGATGGCTTGAAGCACCAAAAAGGAAGAAACAAGGGGTCATTACACAGCAAAGTTGCACAAAGCTACATGACACCATCCCTATATCTTTGTTCGATATTAACCCTTAGCAAGCCACGGGCATGTATATGCCCAGAGCCTCCATAAGTCCATAAGAATGTATTATCATGTCTATAATACTAGGCGTTAATATATTATACATCAATTTCTGCTTATTTAAGGAGATACCCATGGTGTCCAAAGGGTTAAACTTTGCTTATAAACAATAAAACAAAGATATAGGGATGGTGTCATGTAGCTTTGTGCAACTTTGCTGTGTAATGACCCCTTGTTTCTTCCTTTTTGGTGCTTCAAGCCATCCCTATATCCCCCTTTCATTTTGAAGAAATGATTTTTCCACTTGTTTCCACTATTTTTTTAACAGCTTATGACAACACTACATTTATTGTTATAGTCACTCTGATGTTCATGGGTATGTTGTAGATAGGCTACCATAGACAAATTGTAACTGTTGAAAGTAGTAGCTATAATGGTGCCTGAAGCAGGGGCTAGATACCGCATTCACCTCATGTATTGTCTTCAACAAGGATGTAATTAGATTATTGCACATGGTTGTGGTTTCATGGGCAGGCTTTGGTAATCAGGCTACAACCTGGGGGACAAACAAAGAAGGCCCGTTTGACTGAGTGCCCCGCGAGGCTCGCGTAACACAGCGTAGACTCTGGCAAGTTGCTCTTCGTGCAAATCAACAGCAAGCTAGCCAGTTGGAAATGTGCACACTTACTTACAGAAGGTACTGGAGGTTGAGAGTTTCTCTGCAGGTCTGCCAACTCGCCTGGTAATACGCTCGCAACCGCATTGGACAACGCCCCTGCCTCGCGCATGTGCGAGGCTCACCGATGCTGAGTAAGCAGCAAATGGCGTTGTTCAGTGTCGACCATGGAAGAGCTCCATGATCTACCGTAGTGACTAGCGGCAAGAAAGAAACGATCGCTTGATGTCCGTGCACACCTCCGGCGAAATTGGAGACCTTCAGTGAAAAAATCAGTGCTTGAACTGGTACTGGTAAGGAGATAGCGGGTTTAAAGAAGAAGAAGAAGAAGAAGATGAAGAATATGATGACACGAAAATCGTGAAATCGCGTATGAGCGAATTCTCCCGTGGACGACTGGAGGTGCGTATGAGGTCTTGGGGGACATGTATAGGTAGATATGGGCCCGTAGACTATTGCTAGTATGTTTTGAAGGCCTAGGGAGTGATTCTCACCGAGTTTTTAGTCGTTTTGTACGCGGATCACGTGAGATTTCACCCGTGTCATCCCTATATTATAGAGAGTCTACCGACTCTCTAATATATATAATAATTATATAGAAAAATCGCGCCGTTCGGACCACTAGGTTAGCTCGCTTCCGCTCGCCAATAAGTTACTTTTGCGATATTACAGTAACTGTAGTATGCGTGAGAAAAATAACGGACGCTCTAGCTTGTTCCTGCGCGGAGATCTGGGCCCGAGAAAGGATAGTTGTTAGCATCATGACTGGAAATCGATGTGTTCTGTGTGTTCTGTGTGTTCTGTGTGGCTCTACACGTGCAACAGACCCTGGAGCCTCTTTTCCCAGGTTAAGCTGAGGCTTGCTCGGGTCTCCACCAGGAAAGCGTCGGCTACACAGCCGAGAATATGGCGTCAGCACCTAGCTGTAGATTTGCAATCCACCTCGCTCTCCCCGTTTTTCAGCCTGGGGACGGTGAAGAGAGGCTCCAGGGTCTGTTGCAAGTGTAGAGCCACACAGAACACATCGATTTCCAGTCATGATGCTAACAACTATCCTTTCTCGGCCCAGATCTCCGCGCAGGAACAAGCTAGAGCGTCCGTTCTTTTTCTCACGCATACTACAGTTACTGTAATATACCGTAAGAGCTACGTGCTGCGCCGCTCTAAGTACGGACGGTTCCAGTTTCTCCGTAGAACGCAATACATTGCATGCTGGAGCCAGAACGGGACTACGGATGTGACGTCACCTTCAATTATCTCCGCCCACTTTACGTGCCATGCATGCTTGCATTCGTGCAAACTGGTCTATGCCGCGACAAATGGCAATTTGCCGAGGCAAGAGCACTTTTGCCGGGCAAAAGGGCCCGGCAACGACAAGAATACTGACACGATTGAACATGGCCCCAGCTAGTTATTCTTGCCGCGGCAAATGTCCCGGATTTTTCGGCCCAGGTTTTGCCGGGGCAATTGCCGCGGCCGTTTATTTTGCCGCGGCAAAAACGGAAATGCCTTGCAAAATCGACGTTTGAAATACTGACACGAATACCCACCCCATAAGTGCATGTCGGACCATGATGGGCATGTCTTCAGCTGCCTGCATGACTAGGTGAAAGCAGCAAAACATTGTGCATATGTGAGATTGCTGCCTCTAAAAGGACACGAACTTAGCGACATGTGGGTGTCTTGTGCGTATACTGCAGACTCTCTTCGTCCCTAATTCTGACTATGATAAAAAACGTTGCACACGCTAGCTCTGATGTCATCAGCACAAACTTCCACCGCACAGTTTATACAAGTGGAAATGACAGTGAAGAGTTTCGTTTGCTGCATGTGTTTGATAGTCCAGATAGTGATTATCCTGCTTTTCATAACTGGCTATATTCATAACTATGAGTCAAGGAGAAATCCTGTCTTCCTATTACAGTTTTCAACCATCCACACACATAAGTACGTGTACCTGAAACATATCGATGCATTTGGCTTTATGACTCCACGTGGGCCAGTGGGGTATTTAGCTAAATCTGAGTGTCAGTCATTCTAGACTTTCACACAGACCAAAAAGTTTTGCCCACATATGACTATATATGGCATATTTTGTGGGAAAAGCTGGGTACGTATCGTGTTTTCCTCAGGAGATCAACTGGATATTGGTGACAAGTAGCTATGCGGCTAGTCAGTCTCTTGGCTAGATGATGGCGAAGATGAAGAGACGTGCAGCGAGAGAGTCTGTGTGAGAATAACAGGAGTCCTCTGGAGGAGGGAGAGGGTGTGTCTCTGGGGCAGACTGAGCAGAGCCACCAACTCCTGTCGTAGAACCTCCAGCGGTGGCAGTTTCGCAATCTCCTCCAACCCTCGAGGGGTAAACAGCTGGTCCAATACCTTCCCTCCCAGTACGCACAGCCGCGGCTCCGACTTGATACACAACAGCAAACTACTAGTCTGGTCCAAGTTTCCGTACACTAAGGCCGTGCTCCCCTTGAAGAGAGGAGCGAGGTTCTGGCATGGAGTATCGTCCAGTGCCCGGGTGGCTATCTTGGTAGGGATGACCTGTGCCTCGTTCCCACTCTGAGCCAGTTTGAGTCTCAGACTGCTCCAGGCCTTGGTGTCCAGGTCTCCAAAGTGGACGACGGCCACCGTCTCGTGGGATAAGATGTCGCGCACATCGGAGGCTATCTTTTTCTTGAGAGGGTTGACCTGGAGAGAATACACAATGGGTGAAACATAAGAGAAAGTGGTGTGAAGAAACGTACTTTGGTTGCATCTCGTCTCTTCCTAGGCTTAGTTTTGAAGCAGCTTCGGGCATAGGTTCGCGTGGGTAGCCTCAGCAAAGAGCACGCACAGTGAAAACCTGCGGCCACAGACAACATCGCTAGCTAGCTAGAATGCCCTTTGAACTTTTACACGTGTGGCAAGGAGGCGGAGCTTCTGAGTACGAGACTAGACGAGGTCGACTCGGGACGCATCTTGGGGTCGAAGCTGTGAGAAAAGATGAGCGCTGCCGAGCTGAGCGACATTATACAACACTTTGAGGTGACTACCCACCCCGTAGCTTCGTCCCATGATGCTCTAGTAAGCTTACTCTCTCTACTACAGACAGAGAGTGGTAGTGATCTACCGACTGCTGTGAGGTACCTGACGTCTGACGTGGCCATTGCTAGAACCATACGCACATGTCTCTCCCTCCAGATACAGCCAGCAGAAGTTAGTATGTAAATAGCTAGTGTGTGGGGAGAGAGGAGTTAAAAAGGTTGTGAAAGACTACACTGGTGCTCAGAAAGGCACATGTTGCAACAAGTGTATGGATTTTAGAATTGACATTGTTTGCTTTGCCTTAATTAACCCTCGGCGCGCATGCACAGCGAGGGTTACAGTAGTTGGGTTATCTGTCTGTCTGTTACTCAACATCTCACTTCTCGAATGTTTTTTCGTTTCACAAACGATACTACCTACTTAACGGGCAATGAAGGTCAGAAATTTTGTGGCGATTTTCCTGAAACCTCTGCGTGCGAAAAAGTAAATATGCATAATCTCACTGGGCTGATCTGCTCGCTCTGTGTACCTTGGGGGGGTCAGGAAGTCACTACGAATAGCGTGTATCGACTCCCGCATGCTATCTACTTACTGTAGCTAGCCCGTGTCAGGCTCTCCACGAGCTACTAGTAGGAGATCACGACTCCACGAGTAAACGCATGCAAATAGCCCAGCCCATCAATTAGCAGTATCAGTATCGCGCATGTGCAGTTCGCCGAGGGTTTGTACTATGTTTTCATTGCCTCTGCAGGCAGGCGAGTTTGCATGATATATGTACATATCGTGACGGAATAACCCTCCTCCAGTCTTCAAATCCCCCTTCCTGCCAAAACATTCTCTAAACCTGCATGACTATCTGCCATTTCTTTCCCACTCACTGTACTGCTGCAGTTTGACCCCTCACTATTCCAGTGGCTCTACAGCTGTGTCCAGCAGAAGAAGAAGAGTGGAGATCTCTATAACTTTGTGGTCCAGTTCTCACTCGACATTATACTGGTCTACTTTTATGCAGTCTATGAAAACCAACCCGAGGTCAGTTTGTATGTAAACATGAATGAGGTTCAAGCAAAGTAAAGACAAAACATCACAACTTCACCTGGTTTTTCGAGGGAGAAAAGACCTGCCCTGGGTGGGATTCGAACCCACAACACTGCTTTCTACGTGAACACTCTACCAACTGAGCTACATACCAGTGAAACTCAGCAGGTAGCTGTAGGGGTTCAAATCTACAACACAATACAACACAGTATCCATACTGGATATACACACTGCCTGCACAGTGAAAACTCTGGACTCTTTCAAACTTGATGCTATAGAAGTGTGTCAAAGGTTGGTGTTTCGACGACACTCAAAGAAGTCCATGTTTGTTAATACTGATTTGTGCCAATTGCACACAGTGTTGGGCGTAGCTCCAATGTACCTTTTTTTTCTCTCTCCAGCTGAAGGCCAGTTCCGAGGCACTGCTGATGGTGATCATTGCAGAGGTTAGTGCTCTATTGCATCTCTGTGTGATTTCTAGCAATCTCTAATACACTATTCGCAGGCTGAGAAGGATCCATCTCCTCCTGTTCAGATCCACCCCATGTCAAAACAGTCTGTCTACCACGCTGTGAGGAAATGTCCCTCCACTGTGCACTTTTCATGGCAGTTGAACACAGCTAGCAAACATAAGTAATCCTGATTAATGCACCACTGAATAAAATAATGGGAAAAGCAATTAACAGTGTTGCAAAACACATTGAATGTATAGGTGTGCAAAGCGCCATCATTTTGCCGCACTCCCTTGCACACCACAGGTTCATTCTAGCATTAGTATAACACAGTGGAACCTCTGATAAGGGACCCTCCGAGATAGGGACGACCTCTCTACAAAGGACACTTTTCAACCCCATGCTAATCCTTTAGTGTATTATTGACCTCCGAGATAGGGACGACGACCTCTCTACAACAGACAAAATAGTTGGCCCCATGGTTTCCCTTGTTCAGGGGTTCCACTGTATGTAATAGATTGATAGACACAGAAAAGAGGGTAAGGGAAAAGAAGGTGGTATATAAGTAAGAAAAGGAAGGGATTCCAGAATGAGAGAGAGAGTGTGTGTGTGTGTGTGTGTGTGTGTGTCTGTTCTGCAGTCTCCCCAGAGTGTGGTGTCCCAGCAGGCAGTCCTGACAGAGGCCATGCTCCAGAGACACAATGAGACAGAGTACTCTGCCCTCAGACCTTCCTTCGCTGGGAAACCCATCACCGTCAACAACAGGTAGCCCTCCTGTACTGGCCTCGGTTTTACACCGACATTGATTATAGCTGGGGAATGAACTTCTTGTGTAGGTATGCTTTTCTTCATGTCTGTGTGCAAGGTCTAGGCACGAGGCTAAAGCCAAGTCTGGTCTGTATTCCCTCATAACCGTGGGTTGCTACTGGGTATGTAGTGGTATGACGGTGTGCATTGAAAACAAACCTAAGTACATGACAAGAATATCTCGAGCCAAGTGTAGACTAAATCAAACTATGTATTGCTATCCACAATACCCTCCCTCCCAGCAAAGCTGAGGATACACTGCATAGTCTAGTCCAAGGATATTTCAGGTTGTTTTCCTGAGTGGTGTGAAACTCGCAGCATGCGGCTATGAAACAGTGACCCGAGTTGTGTCCTGCATTGTGGGCGCACGGTAGCAGGTTTCGAACCCAACTCTGCCCCCTTGTGCTTTTTATTTTCCCCACTTTTCCACTTACTGAATTATCATGTACGGCCGTATTGTGGCCCGTCGCGAGCAACGGTCAAGAGAGACATACCGGCACTGCTCGTCTCTCACTGTGTTTACCCCTTCTCAGCCAACGGCATACATGCCAGAGCCCATACGTCCATAAGATTTATATATGACTATAATACTAGGTGTTAATATGCTACATATACATACAAGTTCTGCTTATTTACGGGAGCACTACCCGTGGCGCCCAAAGGAGAGAGGCATACATGCACTGTTATTACTGCTCTCTCTCTCTCTCACTGTGTTGTACAATACAGACTGAGTTTGCTGTCCTCCGTGGTGGCAGTGCGTTCAGTGACAGACTAATGCTGTGCCCTGCTGCTCCAAGATTGCCTTCTGTAACGGATGTGTCAGGTATACACTGTTACACACTGGCACAATATTTCTACAAGCTATTATATGCATTTGAATGCACTCTTAACTGTAGGATTGTTTAAGATGGGGTGTGCCTATGCTTGCTCGGTGTTCTAGTAGCATAATGTAATTATACATCAAAGCAACTCTAGTACCATGTTTTTGGTCATTTATCATCGTGCCTGTGAAGCATGAGAATGCACTTTGCCTTTCCACTCCCCTACAAAAACACCTGCATTAATAACGCCATGCATAATGCCACGGAGCGAAACAATCAAAAATGCATTCTCAACACAGAAAGTGTTTTACAGACACATGCGGTGTTTCTGTGTATCGCACTGCAGGTTGTCAATGCAGGGAGCAGACATCCTGTGTGGTCTGGAGGAGGTGGTGGGCCACTCTGTGTCTCCGGTCACAGTCAGAGATCTGAGGCCCTGGGGGAGGGACGGAGGTATAGTGTGAGTGACGAGCTCCTCTGCTTTCCTGCACGGAGTCGCATGTGTCTGTAAGTGGCACGGAGTCTGCATGTGTCTGTAAGTGTGCACGGGTCTGCATGTGTCTGTAAGTGTGCACGGAGTCCGCACGTGTCTGTAAGTGTGCACAGAGTCCAGCATGTGTCTGAAGTGTGCCAGACTCAGTGGGTACTTTTGCTGGATTCCAAATCACACTACTTATGCAAGGAATGTGGCAGTGCATAAGAGTAACTAGAAAATACACTAACGATGTACACATAACTAACAATAGGGCCCGGGCAAAGGACTCTCAATTACATTTCGGTTAACACTTCCACAATTAGCTTTTTAATTCCTAGTGATACTGTAGGTGCAGTTTTGTCGTCGAGTGGAGATTTAGCACTCTCGTACTGCAGGTTTCACTCTTGTCATGAGGCGCACTGCAAGCACTCTACTGTCTCAGGCTAGTAGAGCAGAGTATGAGCTGCTCCCTGGATCAATGCAGGTTACACACCACCGCAACTCACTCCGAACACAAACTCAAATGTGTGCCCCTCTTCTCTCAAAGTAATCCATCACAGGTGTCTGCGTGCACTGATACGGACGTCTCAGAACAGAATGTCAAGCCAACTCTCTAGACCTGACAGGGACAAGTATCTACTTATACTAAATGACAACGGTAAGTGGACACACAGGGCATCGTCAGAATGCCAGTGTCTTGTGTAATGTGACATTTCTCAATGGCAGGGAAGCTACAGGATCCAACGGAACTTCACACACTGCTACAGGGACACATCTTGACGTGAAACAGAGAAGGGTCCTCCGGGGCCCCCAGGACTCTTTTGCTGCTCACTCTGCTGATTCTGTCTGTCTGTGATTTTTACGGACAGCGCAATGAGCACAGGTCGTAGAGGCGATGCTCGAGCTCGGAGGTAATGGTGCGCTCCAAATAGGTGTGTCTCTGGCTGTTGGGGGCGCGCAGGAGGGCATAGCTCGCCATTCATGGGGACGTGTTGGCTGTTAAAGCCATTGCACGTGGACTTCCTCATACAGTGGGGGCAGGTTCCTGCTGCCGCCTACATGAGACGGAGAAGTTTCGCCGCGACTGCTCGCGCGACGTCGTGATTCCTGCTGCTGCAGTCGTGCTGCACGCCAGGAGGTCTCCCGCGGCAGGTGTACAGTCGGGATGGTGGCTACGGGGCCACGAGGCTGGGCCTGTTTCTGCTGACTCGAGTGTTGCGGGACGGCAGTGACAGCAGGTTCAACCGAGTTCGCAACAACCTCGGACCTTCTTCCTCTACTGGACTGTGCAAGGTCATTTTACAATGCTCATGCACATGCAATGTGCTGAGCTGTTACATAATAGATACACTATTCCAAAGAAATTTGTCAGCATAAGGTTATGTCACAATGCCAACTACTCAGAAGGTCCTTGTGATATGGGGTGATACGGAGACTTAATAGTCACCTGACATCATCACCTCGTGGTGCAGCGTTGGTTGTTTCGTGTTCTCTTCCTCAGGTGTGTGGGGTGTGGCTGACGGCCCTCCCGACACTCATCCTCAACTCCAAGACGGAGGGACAGGGAGATTGGGACACGGGACTACATTGGCTGGACCATGTGGCTGGTGGGCATGTTGATGAGGCCGTCGCCGACTACCAGAAGTATACGTTCCGTAGCAACCCAGCCAACAGGTCAGTTTTTTCATGGAGTAAGAATAGTGTCAGGTTTATTCAAGCATTGTTTAGCGAGTGATTGATGCATTCCGCTTCTGCATTGTTACAGGCTTTAGTATATTGTACTAGTCTTCTTTTCCATTCTAGCTGCCCCTTTTACATATATCTCCGCAGTTTGCATAGAACAGTTAGGAATACACAGACGTCTCAATAATTATGAGAATCAGTTAACTGCCCAGTTAGCTATCGAGGCTAGTCATCTACGTACCTACTAGTTACCAGGATGTTCACTGAAGATTGTTGTTTAGTGGTTAAAAGAGATGGTTTTATTTTCCATTTTTTTGCTTAAACGAATAATTTATACTTGAAACCAATTCAATTTGTGTCATTCGGCTTATGATTTTTGCAAGGATATATATAGTTCTGTTTTGTGTGTGATTCGGCAGGCATTACGGTTATGGTAACACGTCATAATTCTACAGGGACAGGTGGATGACTGCGGGCTGTGGAGCATTGTTCGCCACCCAAACTACCTCGGAGAGATCCTGCTCTGGACGGGGCTGTTCATCTCGGCCTCGTCACCTTCAGAGCGGGCCGACTATCTGAGTTCTCTCTCCCACAGTATTTGTGGCCCTCCTCCTGACCAAGATCTCCGGGATACCCATCCTGGAGAGACAGAACTGAAGAGGTGGAGGAGCGATCAGGGCTTCATGGACTACATGCAGAGAACCTCAAGACTCCTTCCTTACGTTACTAGGACTCTAACACTGTGTGACGTTGTGACCAAATTGTTGAGATGAATGCTAGATGCGCGCGATGCGCTAGCTTTAGACCGCGCCCGCATTGTGAGGCCCTGTGCTAGCTCCACACGGTGTACTATAGACAACGGACTATAGGTTGGTGGACAAGGACCGTTGCGACTGGCAGGATCGCAGGAGTAGTAGAGGTGGAGTGACAAGCACTTATCTACTTTGTTGTTAAAGAAGCATGGATTCCAGTGTAGTCCTAGTGATCATGTATTGTGCTATCAGTGTATTCCTTGGGAGAAGAGATGGAAGAGAAGAGGGACGTTGCAGACAGAATCTTCCCAGTTCGAGAACGGTCAGCTAGGGAGAACGGAGCTGAAGCCCAGCAGGCGGCAACATGAAATGAGGAGGAGAGAGAAAGACGAACGGCGTGCTTGACTCTCGGCAAGCGAGACGAGAACAGGTTCTCTCTATGTCTGTACTAGTAATACTAGATCTGCCTAGGGGTCTTTGGTATAGAATAGCTGGTTACTCCTACCACATAGAGATGGAGCGAGATGGATTGTTAAATGCAGTTACACATCAAGCACAGGCGCTGGCATTAGTACATCGGCTGAATTTTCTGCCAGCATCTGTGCACATAATGATGCAGTTATTCTGTTAGCTCAGTAAATGTTCAGCATGGACGCACATTATAGAGGAAGATATAGATCAAGAAATAGTTGGGCGTTTTATTTCTAACAGCACATTTCAGCCAATGTCTGTGTAATCCCGCCAGAGTCCTGTATGAGGAGCTGGAACTGCGAGACCAGATGTTCTCGGAGTTCAGAGAGAAGAGGGAGAGGGAGATTGCCGAGCTGGCGGCCATCAAGAGTGACCTGGAGCTGAGGCTGCAGAGGGCAGGGGAGGAGGGAGATCAGGGAGACACTCCTGGTGGCCATCTTGTCGGTAAGACTGCTGGATTGCTTTTAATTGTTTTTAATGCGTGTGAAAATTAGAGGTCGATGTTGTATACATAAACCAGGCTACACTTCACACCATCTTTCCGTCATGTGTTTAGAATGATAACAGTGGTATTGTACATGCACAGTTTGGGAAGCTATTGCTCTTCAGTTGAGTGAACTACTTATTCTGTTTATCTGAGTGATTTGAGTGAGCAGCTACTTGGTTCCTCAATCATGTGGGGTTGAATTCCCAAGCCATGTTTCTCTGTATAAGGTCATGCTGGATCAATGCTCAGTGTCGGTGAAGGATTGCTTATCGGAGGGTTCTTCGGAATTTAATTTTCTGGGAAATTACTAGTGGTTCTTAGTAGGAGAGTAGTTTTTGAGTTTCTGGAGTTGGTTAGAAATGTATTGTGCAGTCTGGGTCGAGGAAGGGTTTTGTAAGGAAACTGGAAATGATGTTTACTGTTTGATTTGTTGTGTGTTTCATGTGTGTGTTTGTGTTTGTTTGTTGTGTGTGTTGTATTGTATTCAGGAGGAGGGGTGGAGTCTCCGGGTGATTTACGGTTCGTTGGCTCGGGGTTTCCCCAGCTGAATGCCCGGGAGGTGGTGGAGGCTCTGGGGAAGTGGGAGGGGATGGAGGACACCATTTCTCTCTTCGCTGACCTCGTCAAAGAAAACAGTACGTAATGTACACATTCATCACATACTACGTGTAAGTAAACTTTTTTACAATTTGGTTGGTTCTCATATAAGACTAAGTTTTGAGTCACGAAATCTGCTGGTCAGCATTTTAATTGTTCTTAGCTTGTAACAACCTGTTTTTCGTATTGCATTGAGTAACCAACAACAAATTTCGTGACTCAAAACTTAGTCTTATATGAAGTAACAAGGTACAATTTTGTTGTGAGCCACCATGGAGTAGTAAACGGCAATTCTGTTCTGTTTGTTGAACTGGAATGGATAAAAATGTTAACTTTTCTTTCAACGCTGTCTATTAATGTATTGAGCAGTTAACAGCTGACGTGTTTGTCCATAAATGTGTGCATGTACTACGTTCTGGTAGAAGCTGTTTAAAAATCACGAAAGTTCTTATGCTAGGGCAACTGTGTTCAAGCCAACCTTTCCTGCATGTTGTGTTTGCTCTTGTATAATATTTGATTGGCATACTGTATCTTTGAGTTCTGTTCCGCCCATTATTATTGGTCCATCGTCTATGGCTCTCGTGTAGTATTGATTTCCTTATCACTGTCTCCCCCTGGAGGAATGTGTCCTTGTCAGTAATAGTTGTGTCTGTATATGGAGTGAGGACAAATTGCAGTATGCCTGCAGGAGAACTTGTGTGTGGTACATGTGTGTGTTCAGGTCTCAATTTAAGGGATTAGCCACATGCCAAAGACTGCGTGGCAATCATCCAAGTCTCTGACGTATTTGAACGCAATTAGACAGTGCCATCCATGTACAGTTGTGGGTCGGGAGCGACCCGGTACAACAGTCAGTACTGTGGTACTGGACCTGTGGGGGGAGCAGTATTTGGGGAGTCGCCCTCACTTTGTTCCAGTTTACATACGTATGATGTATGGGATACTTGACCTGTGTACCTCTGTTTATGCTGCCCTCTGTTAA